TTAGAACCAATATGTGGAACTTCAAGTTGAGAAAAGAAGAGTTTCAAATTTCTAATGTTGATGGTTCCTTTTCTATTTTTCTAGGAATAATCAATAGGAAAGTCCTATGGCTAGACCCTAGGCTACTAAAGAGAGAACTAAACCTCAACCAAAAGTGAGGTCAACATATACACATTTATGTTTTATGCGATGTAATTTTATTTGTTTGCTTTATAGCACATTCCTTACATACATTTATCTACTTTGCTTGCAAAACATTTCAAAACTGAAAATCACAATATCATATTTTCAAAAGTAGAACATCTTTCTCCAAACAAAAAAAAAAACACATAATACATCCTTTTGAATTTAAATGAGTTTAACAACTTATTTATACTAAGTAAATTTAAGAGAAAATAGTTATGTCGATTCGCCACGCTTTCCAGGTCACGACGCGGGGGCTCTACACCAAAATTTACCCCCCCCCCCCCCCCCCCCCCCATAATACTTGTAAGAGAATCAAACTTGTCAATTTAACTTATATGATACAACTTTTGAACCTCAGACTTCAGGACTGCTACTTCGACGAGGAGCTTGGAGCTAACTTCGTGGGCAGCTTGACAAGATGTACAAAAGAACAACTTCTAGAGAGCAGGGGGATCTGCAACAACAATCTCTTCCTTAGAATTAAATAGCAAGTCATAGGACTTCGCGGCAGCCTATCTAGTACAACATAAATCCTCACTTTATCTTTAGGTATATGCACAATCACATTGTGCAATTTAAGCCCTAACTCGCCTTAGGCTCCGAGGTTGTCATTTGTCATTATATAAATCATCCTATCTTTCAGGCCATTATATGATTGCATCATGCGAATGTAAGCCCTAATTGATAAAATTGGTAGGATGAAACATCTAATAAAAATCTCTCCGGAACTGAAGCCAAACCATAGGATAGCTTGGGAAATCACTGAGGTCCTCCTCAGGATCCTTGACATCCCCTAGTTTTCTGCCTTTGGATTCTATAATAATTGTTCCAAACTTGATCTTTTTCCATTTTATACTCCTTTATCCGACCTTGAAAAGTCCTCCCCTTTGAAACTCTTGAAGACAATATTTTATGATCTAAATCGAGAGTTTTCTTAAGTGACCTTGGTCAGTTAAGATGTAATTAACTATATGGGCTTGCCTTTATAGGAAACATTAGAAACCAGCTTAATATAAATCCTATCTAATCTTTCAAATTAGATAGGAGAAAATTTGTCGTTCAATAGAAAAATGTTTCGCAGACTAAAACAGATGTCATAAATTCTTTAGTTCATTTAATCGAGACTCACTATTAAGTAAAATGTATATTCCTCGGGATAGATGTATTACTCACGGTGTTATGCTCATTTATTTAAATTATTATTTATATGAGATCAGTTCAGTCTCGTATTTTCAAAATTAAACTATTACTTTTCAAAATTATATATAAATATATATATATATATATACATACACACACACACACACAATATATAATTAAAAATAAACTTTCCCATTTTAGCGACCAACATTCCCAAAGTAGGATAACGGGAAGAGATCATTTACTGTTCTACTTGGTCAACAGCCTAGGAAGCACACTCCTCTTCGACGTACCGATGTTGTCACTGAGACACTCCGTCTTAGGGCATCAACATCAAAGAGGAAAGTATGGGTACCTAAGGTCGTTGCAAGCCCGTGGAGCATGTCCACTAGAGGGAGCACGAATTTGATACTCCAATTGTCGTTACTGTCGTTGCTTCAGCGTCCATTGCAGAAAAAGATGATGTTCAGAAGAAGCTAATTGATCTTAAGTTGGATAAGGAGCAAGCAGTTGATGATAAGGTTAAGAAGCCTAGAGCCGAGATCACAAAACTAGCAAAAGAACAATGAATGGATCTCGATGACGAGGATTATGATTTGACAGATTATATGGATGAGGAGTTCGTGGAAATCAACGTTGTGGAGACCAGGGCCACATCATCTATGCCCGAAGCTCCACCGTATGTTGAGGAGAACATCGCAGACGAGTTTAAAAGGGCCAACCAGTTAAGAGATGAACAGATCAATTAGATGGAGAAGAGGATGGAGGAAATGGCCGCCTCCATGTTTGTCATGGCTACAGTGTACAGACAATCATAATCACATCAGATAGCATCTCCGGAGGTGAACCAACTTGAGGTTATGCATATTCCTGATGAAAGAAAAGAAGTCGCTTCCACAAATGGTGACAAGCCGTCAAAGAAGGATTCAATTACAAGCTCGATACCAGAAAATGATATTAAGAAGATTGTGGAACAACAGGTGAATGAGGCCATAGCCTAGTAAAAAGGAGGTACACCGATTGCAAAGGGTAGACCTTACTCGGAAGAGTTCGATGTCGTACCATACCCTAAGAGCTTTCTACCATAGACCTTTAAGACTTTCAATGGAGTGGGAAACCACCATCAACATATTGCACACTTCCAGGCGAGTTGTTGTAACACTGGGGGTAATGAAGCATTAATGTTCTGCAAGTTCGTGAGCAGTTTATCAGCGTTGTATTTGATTAGTACACAGAGTTACCCAATGAATTAGTTAAGACGTTTGCCGAATTAGAGAATTTGTTCATGAAGAGATACTTTGGGACACAGTAACATGTCTCCATAGAAGACCTCGTCCCAACAAGACCTTGGTTGATTACATTTTGAGATGCAGAATCTCAGCATGAAATGTGAGCCTCAACTGCAGGAACAACATGCGATAGAAATTTTGCTTAAGAGTATTCACGGTCAAGTAGTTTTCATGCTCAAAGGACTTATTATTAAGTTATTAAAACCAAAAGCATCAACACACTTGGGTTGTCGCACTAGTGCCAAAAATGGCAGCAGTAGCTATTTGTAAATATAGAGGTGAAATTATTATTAGAAAAAAATATTCTTTTAGCAGTCATGAATATTTTAGACATTTTTAATTTTTAATACATCAAACATCAGCTATATATATCAAACACTAGATATCTAATTATAAATGAATCATTCTTCATCACATAAATTTCTAAAAAGCAACAAAAAGCTTGTTGGAAAATATAAGTGGGCAATTTAATGAAAAACAAACTGTAAAGAAGCAGGACAAAAGTTGAACAATTTTATATAAGGTTTTGAAAGGCAAAACAATCTTTTGGTCAAGGAGACACGAGAAATAATTACGTACGCAAAATGCACGCAGCTCTTCGTACGTAATCTCCTCCCAATAACTTCTGTGAAGGTTATTAGAGGGTTATTGCGGATTTATTTCGACGTTATTTAAAGTCAATACCCTAACATCAGAGAAAATGTGAAAGTGATACCGCGGAATGTGAAAGTATAACCGCGGATGGTATTCACTCCAAATAACGCTGAAATTACTCCGCAATAACCACCTAATAACCTTCACAGAGGTTATTGAGAAGTTATTGGAAATGGATTACGCACGGAGAGCTGCGTGCGTTCTCCATAGGTAAATATTTTTCTCAACACTAACAAGTCCTTGATCAAATGGTCCTCTCAATTTCTTCATAACATACACACCCAAAAAATCTTCTAGTAGGACTAAAGAGACTAAATTTTAATGCAATAGTATCATGATGGCCTTAATTGCTAAAAGAAAAATGTGATTCTCATGAGCACTACAAAACCATGACGCGTCAAACAAAATGAATTTATTTTAGGCTTCTAATTTAGATTTGACCATGAAATTATTTTAATTCCTACAGAGTATCGATATATCAGTTGTCAATGAACTTCAACATTGAGACAAACTTTGCAATCATTTAATTTGAGAAGGATATGTGAATGGCAAAAATAAATCGAGTTGCAGTCATCACCCACCTTAAAGAGGTTTGCTTTCTTCTTTGGTGATTTCAAAGATCCATGTAGTATTCAAAGAAAACCATTCCCCTAAATTATACTACTTGGGCTGCTGCAATTTTTTGTAAAGGTGGTTGTAAAATTATAGTGAAAAAAAATTACTTCTTAGAAAACTATCATGGGATTATAAATATTTAAGAATAAAATTAAGCTAACAAATTTCTTACAGTCATGGCGCTTTAACAGATCTAGTTGCAAAAATCAACTTTCCAGTATAAAAATTTCTTTAAAAAAATAAGAAATAGTTCTCTAAATAAAACTATGATGGATCTTGAAATGCAAAACAAACATAAAGCTATCTAGAAAAAAAAAAAAACCTTTAGTCATCCTATCCTCTCAACATCCTCTATGACTATTATCGCTGTTCACTTGATTTAATCCGCTATGGCTCCAACTTGTTGGCTCTGATGCCGATCTACCTTAGAAGATGATAACCAGGAAAAAATGCTTTCACAAAACAAAATATATATGGGGCAATTACACACATAGCACCCGAAACATGACCATTTATAAATCCATCACCAAGTTATATTTTTGAACTACCAAACCAATTCTACCCACCCATAACCATATGTATCACGGATCCACCACCTTGCATAGCAGTGATGTCCGGAAAAAAAAAAAAAAAGATGATGTGAAACAGAAAAGATACCCAAAAGAATAATGCTGTACAAATGGAATATAGCTTAATAAAACATGGTAGTGGATATGTTCTGCATCGACAAGCAAGTTCTAAATACTGACATACTGATTATGTATATCTCAAGAACTTGGATTGGATGCTAATGTATACAAAGAGTGAGATATAGATGAGAAACCTTTGCTATCATAAATTCAAATTTCTTATTTTCTAGAAGAAGCCTAGTGAAGCGAGAAGGTCCTCTTGACATCTCAACAAAAACCACATGCAAGAATCACTTTATTTCCCTTTTCATTTCTCATGAAAAAGCCACAATTCTTCATGAATACCAACATCTCCAACCATGATTTATTTGAAAGATTCATATCGAGCAAGTATAAATAACACCATATTTCCCTTTCATTCCTCCATTTTTGCTGATTGCAATCAGCAAAAAACATGGATCTCAGTTTGTGAGTGAAATCCAAGAAAGGTTCCAAAAGGTAAGGTTTAATTTACAGATCAACCCTTCCGCACAATATAAACACAGAAATCACAGAATCCAACTTAAACAAAACACTTTATTCCACTCAAACGTGACAACAGAAGATAACAACGGCAAGCTGTTCTCTTAGATTCTGTTAATAAACAACAATTACGAGTAAATCGACACATTTTGATAAACATAAAAGGGGAAAACACAAACTGCACAACGGATGGAGGACGAGGAACGAGCATCCTCTAACCTAGGCGACGATCGGTTCGTAATAATCCCGATGGTGCCTCTCAGGATTGACAACGGTGATCACATAGATTGCGTAGATCATGCCTGGAATGTATCCGAGGATGGTGAGGAGAACGCAGATGCAAAACTCCAACTGAGGCCACGTTGAACAAACAGATCAAAAACAGATTCAAAGAAAACAAAATAATAGGGAGGTGAGATGAAGATCACGTACGCTGCAACATCCATAGTGTAGGAAGACGCCTAGCGGCGGGAGAAGAATAGCGAGAATAATCTCTAAGAACTGGCAGCAGCCGTCGGACGCCATTGTTGTCCTGTTTCTCTTCACCGTATGAATCCGTGACAATTTCTCCCCCACAGCTCTTTTAATCTAACTCGCCCAAAATAGAAATTAAGGTTTGGTTAGTATATTCCAACAATTTTTTTATGGGCAGTTACATACATAACACACAATTGTTATATATCTACACATCTAAGATCAAGTTTTAATATTCATACCAATTTAATTTTTAAATAACCATCTCTCTTCACTTGAGAGAGAGAGAGAGAAAGGAATGGTCAAATTTTCAGTAATATTATGGACTGAAGGCCCGACGATAACTTTCGACCGCCGTAGTTGTTGTCCTATATGAGAAAGGCACCTAGTGCCTAACATTATGGAGCCAAACATGAGCGTTATAATGCTATCCCCAAACATACAACATCCATTTAGGGCAGCGACATTGGTCTTGGTCTTTGTCTTGGCCGTAAAAGTGACACTGCAAACAAAGAGCTTGGATACAACAACTTGATGCCTCATAGAGCTAAGGAAGGCGACATTGCAATATTACAAAGGCAATCACATGCTTCTATCAGAAATACATTAGTGCTTGAGTGGTCATACACATCAATGAGGCATTAGTTCAACAACAAAAGGATGGCTCCACGGTGCCTGAATGGTGGTGTTGTAGTGTCAGGCCTAAAGTCAGACTCTAAACTCAAGAGAGACACACACTAAAAAAAGAGGCAAGATAGGGAAACAAGAGAAATAACCTTGGTTTGCTCCAACATAGAACCTAACCAAGCCTCTTTAACATAGAACCTAAGGATATTTCACCTACTCGATGGTTCCTACTGACCCCAAGGTACTAAGCACCCAAACAAAAATCCACTAGCACTCCAGTCATGAAGAAGAGAGGCACTCCAACTAATGACTATTTAAAATTGGAAAATGATGGAGAGGATGGGAAGAAATTCACTAATCTTTCGAATAACACTTGAAAAGTTGGAAAGGATTAAACCATGAATTTTCATCCCTTGAGGCAGCCACTCTTATAGGACTATAAAATGGTCCAGCACCGCAATATCAATATATGAGTGCCTAGGTGCCACTAACATGGAAAGCACCATGTCAACCAGTAATTGAATACCTCTGCCATCATATTTCTAACTGGTGCCTAAGCGTTGTTGTGGGCATTGTAGCTCTACCAATATGGCATAAGCCACATCACAAAACAAGTCAGAGGATGCCCTATCATCTATCACTATGTGTCATAAGATATGATATGTACTTAGGTACCACTAACATGGAAGATGACACATATGTCGGTAGATTACCTCAACTGGCCAAGGTCATGACTAGTGTCAGATGGGTACCTAAGCATTGCACAAGTAGTGATGCAATGTTGCTAATGTGGCACATGCCATGTCAACCGACATCATTAATAGTATCCAAGCAGGAGTTGCCTTAGGGATGAAAATGTTGACTTCTAATGGCCGCAATACTAGCATTGGACACCTCAGTGCCAATGTATCAAGTGCTTTAGAACTAGGCCAGACATGCAGTTGCAGAAGATGGGGTGGGGATTAGGCGCTAGAACAAATTTTCAAAATTTAAATTTTTTCTTAAGAAATATGGACATATATATTTAAGCAAAAAATGTCTCTTTCATTGATAAACAAGGATGATAAAATAAGGATACATCATCCCTATAGGGGCGTACATCCGTGTAAGAAAAATAAAAATAGATAATTAAGCTAAATCTCCGCTACCATCTCATTCCTGACATCATTATCGTCAACTACAATTGTACCACTTGGGCCAACCTCAGAGAAGAATGTAAAAGGGTGAGTGCCATGGTGAGTAGGCAAATCATCCTAAAAATAATGCCAAAATTCCTAGGCCTACCAGACAAAGTGGTTATCCTCTCAAACATAATATTGACACTATAACTGCTCCACATGACAGATGTGCTAATGAAGGTGTCCATTTTCTGGTCCATTCAAATAACATGGCCATCCATTGACTACGGACCACCACAATGCCTAAATCACAGAGACACAAGCCTCACTTCTTTTGAAGAACCCTAAGATTTCCTTGCTATCAATTTTCTCTATTTTCCAACTGTTGACCTCACTTTTGTTTGAGGTCTAATTTCCTCTTTAGTAGCCTAGGGTCTAGCGATAATATTTTCCTGTTGACTATTCCTAGATGACTAGAAAAGGAACCCTTATTAGAAATTCTAAACTCTTCTTTGCTCAACTTGAAATTCAACATATTGGTCCTAACCTCTAACACTTAGTAAGTGAGGTAAATACGGGGAAGCTTAAGGACTGTTTGGCTTTAAGATTGACCCTGAAAGTTAGTTTGGAGTTAGTTCACTCACTTTCAATCCATCCCACTCACAGCCCTAAACCCAAACTTGTTGATTTTGATCCCTTGATCTTTTGGGCGACTCATGTAGATGATCCCCTGAACCACTAACCCTGGGCTAGGGTCTAGCCAAGACTAGTACACAGAGGACCCAAATGGAGGTTCCATTGGTCCATGACTCAAATAGGGTGGTTTCCACCTCATTTGCACCAAAATACCAAACTTAGCATTTTGCCCCCCAATCTACCCAGTTTACTGAAACACCCCCAAACCCCAAATTTGACCAAAATTCCTAAAACTACCCAAACTACCCAAGTTTGTTCAAAAATCATCTCAAATCATTTGAAATTACCCAAATTGCCCAAAACCTAGTAAAATTTTCAAAATTACCAAAATACCCCCAACTTTGCCAAAATTACAAAAATACCCTTGGTGGCCCAAACTTTCCCAAAACCTTCAAAATCATTTCAAATGTCTAAGAAACAAATTTGGACCCTTCAATTAAACTCAATTTGACAAATTTGACTATTTTTACCAAAACCCCCAAATTGCCCCTAAAAGCCCAATTTCCCCCCAAATTGCAAAACCCCCAAATTGCCCCTAAAAGCCCAATTTCTCCAAATTCACCCCAAATGTCCCTCAATTTCATCCCAATTTTCCTCAATTTCAATTATAAGCTCAAATTAATCATGTCTGTGATTATTTCAAACCAAATCTAAGCTTAATTGACCCATGCTTTGAGCTCAATTTTGATCCAAACCAAAACCCCCAATTTTGACCATATGACCCAATTGAACCCAATTGAACCCCATATCCCACTCAATTGCCTCAATCTATATTCCAAAATTTCTAAAAATCAAATGGAGCCCTCAATTGGCCTTGATCAAGCCTCAATTCCACTCAATTTTAACCCAAATTCAAAATCCCCAAATTTGCCCCAATTTAGCCACATGCCCAAATTCCACCAAATTGAATGCCCTAACCCTAAATTTGGCACCCAATTGATGCTAAAAAATCTTTATAACATTCCCCTAAACCATTTTAAGCCATCAATTAAGGGATTTCATGCCATTTTTGGGTCTAAACCAAAATATCTCCACCATCAAGCCAAACCATTAAAGGTTAATCATAATTAACCCTCCCATTGGCTCACATGACCACCTGACCACCTCTTATGCTCTAGCTAGCCACCATAGTCACTGGAAAACCCCAAAAAAAGAGCCACCTCAACAAATTCAAATCCAATTGAACCTATCCAAGTTGTCCAACCCCAATAGCTCTTTGGAGTTCTTTTGCCCTCCACATAAGCAGCTTATTGCACCCACTAATTGGCTCTGAGCTCCACCCCAAGGCGCTCTATTTAAACTCACCTCCTCCATGGAAAAACTAGGGAGAGCACCAATTTACTTTGGGAAACTTTGCCAAATTGTTCCCAAATACTCTCCAAGACCTCCTGAGCTCAAGCCTAATATTTTCCTCCTCTGGTTCCCACCGTGAGAGCCCAATTTTGAGCTCAAAATTCCAGTTTGAACTAGGACAAATTTCACCACACCTCCACAGTGGGCCACAATCCAATTAACTATGCCCATACCATCACCATAGCAAGATGAGTTGATCCCCCACAAAAGTCCCCTCTCAAACATCCTCTAGCATAGCTCTAGACCAACACTTCAAATTGAGCTTGATCAAAATCATACCTAGACAATTCATTAGAGCCCATGACTTCATCTAGAAGTTCGTTGGACCCAATCAAAACTTCCACAACCTTCTGATTGAGGCCTCCCCTCTCCTCTCAGACAAAGGTATTGAGGAGTGAGGGCTTACGTTTATTCTATCTGTAGGAGAGCTTCATTTGATTCTCCATACGTATTTACTGTATTACTTCAAATATGTAAATCATGGCTTCCAATAGTAATTCTAAGAGTTCAACAATAAGATCCACGAATCTCTTCCCAAATTTTCCTTACATTCCCAAATTTTTTGGATCTCCTCAATGTGGGAGAAATTCATGGTGGAAATCCAATATTTTTAGCTTGCAGTGAAGCTCTTACCTAGAGATGATCAAATCCGGTGTCAAAAATCCTTGAAATCACCTCCTAATCCAAGATCTCTCAAGCCCTAGGTTGAAAATGGCATTTTTAGGAGGAAGGGGATGATGAAAAAAGGGGATGACGAATAGTGGCAGTTGACTGGTCAAAATCATGGTTAAAAGGTGTTTTTTGTGAGCTCACTGTCGGCGGGGTCGATGGCACCGTCGGTGGTGCTCTATGGGAATTAAAATCCTAAGTCTCGGTAAAATCTCGCCGTCGGCGGACCTTCATAATGAATTAATTTTTGAGTCTCGGGAAAATCTTGTCGTCGGCGGGATCGATGGGCTCGC